GTCATTTATTTTTATTACGAAATCTTTCATCTTCCTTTGTAGAACAGGATGTGGACCAGTATATGGAGAAGTGGAGGTTTTATGCTATCAGTGCACAAAAACATATAAGAGTAAGTTCGCAATGAGGGATTTATATCAATTGGTTATTATGACGGAATGTTGGAAAAAAATTTAAGAGACTGTAATGATATTAGATGATATACATAAGTCTCCAAATGTGATGATAAATTATAGGGTCCTATTTAGTTTCACTAATAGTTACTTTAATTTTTGAGCCTTTCTTGAATTCTCTTATTTCCCCTCGCATTTCCTCACCAGAGTGTACATGAAGTAGGTGAAAGAAAGTATTTTAACTGTTGGAATGAAAAGGTTAGACAGAGTATAATTTCGCTAGTGAAAGTGCACATTTGCTAGTTTGTTCTCTAGCTTTTAATCTTAGTAGCAGCTACGCATTCTGGCTGTCTAGTTAGTATATCACCATTGTAGATCTCCGAGTCAGGCTGTTAGATTAAAATAAATTGTGTGCTCTGGCATTGCATCTCTACCTTTAAATTTATTTTAAAATTAACTTTTAAGTTCTCACTGCAGGTGGTTAGTGTTTTATGTAAGCATGCAAGTACGTGACTTCTGTTAACTAGTTTGTGATAAATAAAAGGGACTTTTACTCACTTCCCTGAAGTGTCAATTTTCCTGCCTGTACGAAAAGTCACAAGGCTAAACCCTCAACCAGATCTAGTTACTATTTCATGATAGCAAAACATAAGTAGATTTCACATTTGGCACCCAAATAAATCTGGACCAATGACTGAAAATCAGCCAACTTTCTTGTTGGCCCCATTAACTTCACAAATACCACCAGCTCCTGTAAACCCAATGGAAGGGTTTGGCTTCCTAAGTAGACACAATGCGGAGCTCCATAAAAACCACTGCTACATTTGATGGAAGAACATCAGTCACCAACCTTTTGGAACAGCTGGGCTTTTGCTGTCTCCAATCAAAGAAATGCAAAAGATAATGATAGTGACCGCTGCACTATGAAAACAGGCACCAAGTTTTACAAACGGATTGGAAAAAATTTACTACAAGAAATAGGTAGCAAAACATATATGTTTGAAAGAATGAAAACTTCCCTTGTAAAGGCATTTTCCCTCGTCACAGACAGAGCAAAGCTGGAATCCGAATTATACATCAAGTGCCAATTTAAAGGCGAAGAATTAACATAATTCATTTTAAGGAAAATTCAAGTCATTAATTAACTGTATAAGAAAGGCCCAACAGTGAAATTACCAAGATTATTTTCCCCAACTATAGGCCCAGATTCAAGACTTTATTGAATTGAGAAACCCCAGCACCAGAGAACAACTGTTTAAACTGGCGGTTAAATCTGAAAATCAGAGGGTAGCTAAAAGTATGTATACAACAGATTACAGCCAAAGTAAAATGAATGGATAGTTTCACAGGCCAATAGCAGAAAATAGGAAACAATTTAACGGTGGGAAAACATTTCAGAATACAAAGTATCATTTTGGCAATCGCCAAAGTAGGCCGCAAGATTCTAAACAAGGGGCAGAAAAGCAGCAGTTAAACTAATTCGGGGTGCTGAAGAAAGGAGGGTGCAGTTACCCTGCTCCCATATAAAAATCCCACTAAATTATTATTAAACACAGTGGCCATAAAAAATTTGGTCTTACCACTTATTAAGATTTTGCTAAATGTGCAAGAAAAGCCTTGTCAGATACAGGGGCACAAGCAAATTTAATTTCTGTAAGTTTTTTTTTTTTTTTCGGGGGGCATTTTTAAGAGGTACTGAATACTTAGCGTAGAAAATACCAAATTCATTGTTGCTCAGGGGAAACATTGAACATGTATAGATAAAGGCCATATTTCATGTCCAATTCAAAAATGAGTCTCAAAAGACCAATGCTGTGAAGTTGATAGGGAAAATGACAGACTCCGACTCTGATTCCTGGAATTTTAATGACTCAGACTCCCTCATATATATATGTGTAAGCATATACACATGGGTTACAGCTTATTTTTTTTATATAAAAGAAGTAATAGATGCTACAGAAAAAAATTGACGGCATAGCAAATTATTTATATTAATCAGCATTTATTACGAAATGGAAAAACTGGCATTAGTTATTTCTAAGAAACAGTATAGCTTTGGCGAGATTTTCTTTGTTGGAGGGCCATAAATCCGATTTGATAAACTTCAGAGCTGAAAAGAGTCTTTCCACAAACTTGAGTAGGAGGAAGAGCTGTTACTGTTAGGGCTACTTCTTTTAACTTTTCAGGATAGATTTTTATGAGTTCTAAAAGAGGTTCTTGCAAGTGCAATCATATTTCTTTATTTCTTCAAAGGCCATATAGAAATTCTGTTTGCATTTTTTCATTTTTATATCTAAAGGTTTTTGTTTTTTATTTTCATTTGCTTTGCCTTAACCTTTTCCATATTATCCAAACATATTTCTCATAATCTAATTTATCAATGGAAAAGGATGATAGAGACTCAATTGCAATGTCTGTAGTTTGACTGTCCTGATTCGAATTCTCCACTTGTTCTGAGAATAATTTCATTCTTAATGAAAGTTCATAGATGATCTCTTTGCTTTTTTAATTTGTTCATCATCCAAGAAAATTCGGTGTTCTGGATCTCCATATATTGAACCCAGCAAGATCTCATTGTCTAGCAAACTAGTTTCTCTTTTCTTCATTGAAGAAATGATTCCTTCTGCAATAAACCCTTCATTTCAGAAAGAACAAACATCTCATTCTCACCTCTTGTCAATTCTTCAGATTGCAGCTTTTTTGTGGCTATATATGGTACAGAAAGAAGAGTTTCCAATTCTGCAAGATCATTCCACAGTTTTTCTGTTAGTGAACAATAGGGTTATCTACATGTCCTAAAAAAGTTCTAAATTCTAAAAACCTCTTTATTATAAATATTGCATTGCTTGATCAACAATTGCTCCTTTTAGTTTAATCACTAATGGCAAATATCACATCCATCCTCCTCCCTTATATTTATTTATTAATAGGTCAATAAAATAGAAAATAACTATTTATTAATGTACACAATGTGTAAATAAAAATAATAACTCAGCTTGTCATTAATTTTTTTCAATTCATTTTGATTTCATTTCAAATTCAAATTGTCCAACGAAACTGGAGTCGGAGTCAACCTGTTTTTAGCGACTCCAGCTCCGACTCTTTTTACCCCCAAATCTGCCCGACTCTATGACTCCGACACCACAGCCCTGCAAAAGACTAAATTACTTGTTGTTAGAAATTTGCAGGCCTCAGTGATTCTAGGTATGGATTTCCTCAAAATAGACGGAGCAGAGATCTATTGCTGGTGGAAAGAAATTTTTCTGATAAACCGGGTATTACTCAAATGTCCAACATGAAACTGAATTAAAGAATACCAGCAACTGTACAGTTAAACCATATAGATATGAAAAGGTGATGGAGGACATAATTGAGCAGCATATTCAATACATGTTACAAAATACAATAATTATTCACATCAGCAATCTATATGCTAGCCTGGTAGAATTATGCTGAAAAAAGAATGATTTGCCTTCTACGAGTTTTAAAGCTTGGTGATTTGCTATTGCCTAGAGAAAGCTAAATAGTTTAACCAAATATCCAATTTATCTACTGGCTATAATTGAAGAAGTTATAAGGAAGATAAAATCAACTTCATTTATGACAACCTTAGATCTTACCTCAGGGTATTTTCAAATAGTTATGAAACCTGAGGATGTCCAAAAAACTGCATTCGTAAAAAATCATGCACTTATGCCTTTCTAAAGTCTGTCCTGGAAAACCCACCTTTATTTACCTTGATAACATAATAGTAATAAAATATGCACTTATAATATCGACAGACATATTAAAGATTTAAATGAAGGTTTCATATTGTTAAGAGAAGCAGGTTTAAAGGTGAACGTAGCCAAATGTAAACCTGCGGCAAAAGAAGTTAGGTGCCCAGGCTGTCAAATTTCTCAAAGGGGCACACAAACTGAAGATTCTAAAATAATCGCAAAAAAGAACTACCTGCTACCAAACCAGAGAAGAAATTAGCCTCATTTTCGGGCATTATGTTCTTATTATCAAACATTTATACACGAGTATGCAAAGATAGCTGAATCATTGTTAAAATTAAAGCAAAAAAAAAGCACAGTTTTCTTGCTCAGTGAGCTATACTCGGAACTCATGCTAAGCTAACAACTAAACAACTGAAAGCAGATGCTCCCTCTTCAGCCTTATATAATTTTCACCCGGCCACAGAGATAGTTCTAGTACTTTCTGCTTCTTAAAACTACTGGAACGCAATATGAGGATTGAATTATGGTTACAGCTAACATAGTAGTAAATTACATTTATTCAATTTCAATACATATTACCGTGATAGAGAGGCCAGACCAAAATATCACCAAGACTGGCGATTTCTCGACAAGTTAACGAGATGCCCATTTACTCAATGTTAAATGGACTTACCCCTATATTCTTACTTTTCCAGCATACCTTCTCTCTCTCTCAATTTTTCACATTACATTACACAGAAAAATACAACAATTTCACATATTATTGCACTAAAATTACCTGTCTATGTACAAAAGTCATAACAATATACATCCTGACCAACATGAATCAGCAAATGGATTGAGCATTATTTTTCATGCAACTAAAACACTTATAATATTTTGGCATAACTGAAAAAGGAGTGACCTTTTTCCTTTTTGCATCATCAGATATTACATAACAGATAAGTAATCAAAGAAGGGAAGCAGAGAATAAATCTAAATGATACGCATTTGTTAGTCTAAGGTTGAAAAAAAGTCTAATTAAAATATGCAAGCCTTTTTAAAAAATGAACATTTTATCTTACACAAACATATTAAATTTAACTGTAAAAAGTATCAACAAGGAATACTGAAAATATTTCAAACAATTTCAACAGATAAAGATAAAGTAAAATACATTATAATAACCTGTCTTGAAATTTGATGTCTTTGTCGTTTCCGAACAGGAGATAACTCTGGGGAATATTCTCTTGGTTTTCTTCGCCTCCGTTTGCCTTCTTCCTCAGCCTGCACCAATTCTGGTTCTTCATCTTTTATTGCACTAATCTTTGTAGAAACTACTGAATTTGTAACAGAATGGCTTGACAATTTTGCAAACACACATAACAAGAAATCACTGATTTCATCCTAAAATTAAAAGTATATATAAACTAACAAATTATAAAAATTATTGAGACTAAACAGAAACAGACACATAATTTTAATTCAAAATGTTTTAGCATATAAGCATAGAATTCATTATAGCTCATGATTAAGGGTCCATGTACAATTCTGCACATGAAAATTAAATACATTATGTATTTGATCAGTCCAGGGGCTGATGCAGATTTTATGCCATGCAGCATAGTTTAAATTGAGAAGTAAAATCTTAATCAGCATGATTCATAACAGAAGCCTGGCTGTTGCCACCACTGCTGCTTGCTTAGAAAGAGAAAGCTGTTGATCAAAACAGACTTGAACACCTGATGTTGGCACAGTTCATAATGTCAGTTGTGCTTTGTCAGTAAGTGTATTTTTGCCAACCAAAGGTTTGATACTTTTTAAACACATTACTATGGGAAATGTGTAGACTCAAACACATGACAGCGTCACATTTAAGGAAATGAATAGATTTTTATATGTGTTTTACTTAAAAACAAAATTCTATTGTACATAAGAGGATTTCATAAATATCTAATGTATATATCTGAAGCATGAACACAGAAAGTGATCTAAATACCACTATTTGAGGTGAAGCTCAGTATACATTTCATTTCATCATAAAAACTTTTACATATGTAAAAGCTATGGTTTTCAAAACAGGCATTTAAAGCAGAGTGATATTTAGCCTATATGTTAAAAATGCAGGATTTCCCTTAGTTTGCATAAGAAACTATTTTAAGTTTGGTATCTTTTCTGAACTTCTCATTTTCCTCTCGCATTTCCTCACCAGGGATGCAAATTTAAAGTGAAGAAAGTATAAAAACAGACGAAACTAGTAGTTTATTCAAAGTACAATTTCGATAGTCAGCGCATGTAACTATTTTCTCCTTGCTGCTGTTACGCTGAGTTGCTGATATGCTTTTTGGCCATTTATTAAGTATATCGCCACGTAGGTTGTTGAATCAGCCTAGCTAGCCTTAAACTAAATTGTTAGTCCAGCAGTACTATTTTACGTTTGAATTTATTGTCAGTTCTTAAGTTCCACCGTAAGTCATCAGTTTTATTGTGAGCATGAGTTCATGCATTTATGGTAAGAGTTTGACAAATAATAAAGGGTATATTTTACCCTTCTTCTGTGCTGGTATTATTCGTGCCTGTGGGAGAAGTCACCAGGTTTCCTCATAAGATCACATAAAAATTTCTGATGGAAAAGAAGACCAGATCTTGCGAACATGACTGTAGTTCACACACCTTCATCTAATAACATTGTTCTTTCTCCCCCCCCCCCCGAATGATTCATTTGATAACATGCATAAGGGTAGAATGATCTAATCATAGCTTCCTTCTCCCATTCTTGGTAATATCTGCACCTGCTAAAGGTCTTGATGATGTTATGCAAGCAAAAGTCTTAGTTCAATTGCATATTTGAGGACCAATTTTTAAATTATATAAATTTCATTAATAACTTTAATTAGGTTACGTATTTCATATAGATTTCAAATGGTAAGATTTGCATTTGAACAATTTTATAAAAAGCTCTGTAGCTGATTTATTTTATAAATTTCACTTTCATTATTGATAAGATTTCACATATACCCAATAAAACATTTAATTAAAATTTCTAATGTACTTTATGAACCTTATTTGTTGAATAAAAGTATATTATTTGCAATTATTTGCACCTAAATCCATTTTTTTATCAATCATACCAAATAAAAGCTCTGAGCATTAACTGAAAATATTACAGCTTTATTATAAAATAAAATGACTTCGAGTAAATCTTTATGGATAAATAAAGTAATTTTTCAAAATTTTAAAAGTATTAAGGACAGAAATTTGGGGGAGAAAAAGAGGAAATAATAATGAGTAAAGCAATGGTCATTCAAATCAAGCAATGTGTTAATGAAATACAGTAGACTCCCGATTATCCGCGGAGCGGATTATACGCGCCTGCTGCACAAAGTGTTTTGTTTCCCCCCCCCAAGCGTAAACCAAAGAAAATAAAAATGTTCACAAAACTGAGTGAAACGTTAAATTTGCTAACATCGTGCTTATTTATGGCAAAAATATCCCAGGTTTTCTCGGAACATTCCCCTCTGATGAGTAAGTGATTTCTTACTCACCCTTGCAAGGTCCACTCAACCGCCCTCTCTCGTCTTAATCTTACTGACACGTCCACTTCCTCCCACTCGCCATCGTTAGTTTAAGCCTGATAGTGTTTGCGAACCGGTCGGAGTTAATTTCTTATCTTTTATTGTGTTCAGTGCTTGTGCTTTTTGGTTTTGTGTTACCGATTTAAAATGTCAGGAAAACGAAAGAAGGTTGTGCTGACGATTGCGCAGAAACTAGAATTAATTTCCAAAGTAGCAAACGATGCTACAAGTCAGCAGATGGAATTGGATTACGGAATCGTGGAAACAACAGTGTGTGACATTCTAAAGCAAAAAGGCAAACTGTTCAACTTTGCATCAATGTTGGACAGTGCTTCCGCAATGAAAACGCGAAAACTATGAAGGGTTCTACCTTTGATGAGACAGAGTGGTTAGCTCAAGTTCGAAAAGAGGGTACTCCTGTAAATGATCCTATCATTGTGGCGAAGGCAAAAAACTTTTTTGAGTTGTTAGGCCTGAAAGGAAATTTTGATGAGTCTTCTGGCTGGTTGATTTGTTTTAGCAGCGACATGGAATTCGAGAAATTGTACTTCATGGGGAGAAACATAGTGGTGACCAACAAGCAGCCGAGGATTTCCACCATGAATTTGAAGAATTTGTTTTAAAAGAAGAGCTATCTTTTGAACAAATTTACAATACCAACGAATCGAGACTTTTGTGGAAATGTCTTCCCACACGCACTTTAGCATTTGAAAATGAAAGTAAAGTGGCAGGTCATAAAAGCATCAAGGAAAGGATCACTATCATGTCTTGCAGTAACGCAACCGGTGGACAAAAACTTAGACTTGTTGTCATTGGAAAGTCAAAAAAACAGAGATCTTTCATAGGCCAAAGGCTCAAGGATAGAAAATTCGCTCGTTGATTACTTTAACCAAAAAAAAAAAAAAAAAAAAAGGATTGATGAACTGAAACATTTTTCAAGAATGGTTCGAAACAATCTTTGTTCTTCAAGTGCGTAAACATCTTAAATCGAAAAACCTGCCTGAAAAAACTGTGCTGTTGATCAATAATGCACCTTCTCACCCAGCAACAAGCGTGCTAAAGTCTTCTGATGAACAAATTTTTGCAAAGTTTCTTCCCCCAAACGTTACTGCACTAATCCAACCCATGGACCAAGGAGTCATTGCAACAATGAAGAGAACATAACGAACCAAGCTGCTAATGACCAAAATTGAGGAAGGTTATGATCTGAAAGCGTTTTGAAAACACTACACAATCTTGGACAACATCTACAATATTGCATCTGCATAGGACTCAGTGAAACCGTCAACAGTCATAAAATCATGGAGAAAACTCCTGCCTAATGTTGAAGCCAACAACAACCTAACCCCTTTGAGTTGTGAAGAAGAGAATGAAGATGTAGACACATCCACGGCAACTCTTGCCGATATGGTGAAAACAGTTCCGGGTGGTGAGAACGTCGATGCTGAAAACATTAACGAGTGGTTGGAGTGTGACGTCAACGAACCTGGCTTCGAACGCTTGACAGATGACAAAATTGTGAAGAAAGCAAGGGGAGAGACCGAGAATGAAGGAGAGCGAAGTGAAGGCGAAGAAGAGCCCACTGTAAAGATGCGGAAGACTCCCAAAGTGGCTTTGAAACAAGTCGACGGACTGCTGAGCTAATTGGAAGAATAAGACGACGCGGAGTTGGCTGAGAAACTTATGCTACGAAAAATGCAATCTCGGATCAAGAGAAAATGCTTCCAAAGCAAGAAGCAAACACAAATGACTGATTTCTTCAAAAAGGTGTAGTTTTACAGTTATGCTTTTATAATTACATAATACATTACAGTATTAAAACAGTACATACGTATTAATTTTTCTGTGTATCCTTGACGCCTCTCGTAGTACAAAGCACTTTTCTGCTTTCATTAACAAAATGCATTTTAGGCTAGTTTTGAGTGATATACTAAAATATTAAACGTTAGTTAAACATTTTCTGCTGTTTATTTTACGTTGTATTGTACATAAAACGATTTTTCAAAGTTGGAATGACTGTTTTTTTCTTTTTCTTTTTTTTTTTTGGGGGGGGGCTATACGCGTCTTAGCTTTTTTCGGATTACCCTCGATTTTTGCTATCCGTGGCGGCCACACCATCCAATTTCGCAGATAATCAGGAGTGTACAGTAATTTTTTAAAACAGCCTGTTTATTGTATTCTTTCCCTCCTTTTTTTTTCAAATGTGGTTTAATAAAAATAGTTATTTCAACTATGAAATTCTGCATTCGGATTTACTTGGGCAAAAGTAGAAGAGAAAAAATATATTCCCATTTATTTCAAATGAAAAAGTGTTTTAAAAACTAATAAATTGCAACTTTTTAAATTAATTTAACTATTAACAGCTTTTTAAAGGATGCAATAATCAATAAATGAAACAAGGCTGTCTAAGACGTAGAAAAGTTATTTTAATCTAAAAAATGGTAATATTTTTATGATATTAGAATGAAATATATATATATATATTCTAATTGACTTCAAAACTTCTATAATATTAATAGCATTTATCTTTAATCGATTAATTAGTTTGCAATGTAATATATGATGAGACGAAAAAACCTTTTGAATCCACTTTAAATCCATTTTACAATCCGCTTCAGAAAAAGCAGTCCTTTTTTTGCATCTAATGGTTCTGTGAGACTAAAGGTGCATCCAAGGGATAATAAGAGGTTTTGTAAACAATAACAACATTTATTTACATGAAAATATATGAAAATTTCAATAAATTAGAGATATATTATTAGGCATCTCTGCCTTCCATGTCCTACACCTTTAGTGTCCTGCATGCCACTGACTATTGGGATGAACACAGCA